GAGCGAACACTTCCAGCTGATAAGATCAATACAATTCCTTATTTTTGTTGGTATATAAAACTTATAATGACTAGAATAATCATAAAAAGATTCTTATTGTTATCATCTTTTATCAGAGAAATAAATGTAACTGTTATTTATTTCAATATCATTAATCTATGATTTATAACTAATTTTGCTATTACACATGTATCGACAACGAAATATTTCTACGAGATTAAAAAATTCTTCAGATTGATACATGCGGTTTGTGGAAATATTTGTCTATTGACGAATGATTAGAAGCAAATGTATATAGAACAAAAACCAAATAAGTATGATGAATTGGATTACTCTCGATTATGTAATATGATATCATTATTGGTATCACACCTTAATGTCTGATTTACCTAATGCATTGAGACGTAGTATACCCCAGTTAAAATAAAATATGCCTACAGATTAGACGTATATATTATCTTACTTTTAAGTACATCAGAATAACCCTAGTAGCCGTATAACAATGATATTAATATCATTACAAATTGTCCTCAGTATTTCAGAATGCGTTAACAAAAAGTATTAATTTTGTTTAGATTTTTATGTATGGTGCAAATTCCTATCATTATCGAGCTATAGGTCGAAGAAACAAAACAATCTTTATGTTCAATTTTGATGTAATCAATTGATTGAAACCGAGATTTCAGCAATCTTTTATACTTTTAAATAAAAGAAAAAAACCATCGAATTATCGATAGTTTTATTAGATTATTTGTATTCCTTCTATAGATAAATAACTGTGAGTTATATATAAATCTTGATACAATTCTGTTCTAATTCATGTTTACTCTGAGTTTATATATGAATCTATTAATGAGTTTCTTATCGAATTTTTGATATTTACATGTGATTATATCAACAAATCCTATCATACTTATTACTTTAGGATTAACAATCATTGAATGATCTTAAATAAAAGTACTACTTTTTCAAAATAATTATTAGTTTGACTTATTGTACTCAAATAATAAGACTAATACTTTTTTATATTAAAATCTTTAAACGAGAATCAAATTTGCTTTGAATCATAAATCCTTTCTTACGAACCAATAAATATGTCAAAAAATCTCCGTGCAATCAATCATCTATATAAAAACAAGAAAAATGAATAAATTTTCACTATATCAATATATCGATTATTCATGACACAGATGTTTTTACAATGCACAAAAACAAAATCCTAAAAACTTTTCTTTTAAAACTGAATATTTCTTTATAAATATAACTATTCATAATTATGATTAGTATCCTGATCCTTCTATCAATATTTAACTATGTAATTTACGATTTAATCGATATCTGTACCATATTTAGCAAAAGTTGTCCACTTTTTATGATTATGTGTTCATTCATACTTTGATCGAGAGAGAGTAAAATCACTTTTAGAAAGATATTTGTCAATTCTATAACAACTACTTTCATATGAGTGTACTACTTCTCTTCAGAAATCTATTTACTAAGAGTGTAATATGAAATTGGTTTTGTTTATTTTACTGAAATAATAAAACCTATCTAAATTAATACACTTACTTTACGTACCATACCTCTAACAATAAAAGAAAATAAATGCAGATACGTACCATATCGCTAGCAAAACCCGAAAATATATGCATATATGCACGGTATCAATGACCAAAAAAGAAAATATATACAGATACACAACATATATTCGTCATGGAGTAACAGCTGATGCAATCAACATTTTTATAGTCATTTAGATTTGTTTTTAGCATTGTATTCGTTCTGCAACTAGCTATAGAAATATGTTGCACTTTTTGTAGTCTCAAGCGCAAAAGTACAAATAACCCACGTAAAAAATATTGAGTACATATCAATTTAAAATGGATGAGATGTAGATTTCTAGAGGCTCTTTTTTTATTTTAATTTCGATTAACGAAAACGACATTTTTCTTTTGTTTTAATTTGATAATTCTAGGTTTTTCACACTTCTCTCATCACCTTTCAAGATACGATATCAGCTGTTACTCAGAAAGAATGATGAAGGTGTTCAAAAACGAGTTTCGAAGAAGAATTTATCTATTAAAGGAATCAATTTAATATAAAATAAACTGATACTTACATATTCTCTTGATGGTAACATTAAATATTAATTATTTTCATAACAATTTTATATTATTACTTTTAGATTTCATTATTAAGAAAAATATTTAATTTGTTAATTTCAATAACGAGAATAACAATACGACGACATGATAAATCTTACATATATTATTTGTGATCATCGACAATCGAAGATAATGAAGACAGTACAAACGATCGTTTCATTTGTGGACAAAAAAGAAAATGAATGAATGAGGAACACAAGCTTTGTTTGCAGATGAATTATCGAGACTATTTTGTGTATATGTGTTAAACACAGAAAGAATAGTCAATGAACGGATACGATCGAATAAAGAAAGAACAAAATGCAAGTTGTTCAAATATACTCATTCTCTCTTGATTAAATAATCATATTTATGATCAAAGTAATAGATATACAAAAAACGAAAAAGGTGATGTTAATAAAACAATTACATGTTAAATATCGATTGATCTGTTCATACAAGTTTGTTTTATATGACATTTAAACAATGACAAAAAATATATTCATCGGTATCAATAGTAAATTATTATTACATTTACCTTATGAAAACTTTTACTAAACATAAGCAGTACATAATAATAAAAATTATGTCAATATGAGATCATCATAAAAAAACGACTTATTTTTTTATTTACCATATATAAAATTATTTCTACATGATATATTTTACTTTATAGTAATTCGATAATTATTCGAATACTAATAATTCATGTCAATAAAGAGTTGATTATGTTATTCCGTCTGACTGAATGATTATCTATGAGAAATATGAGTTCTGTGAATATGATATCTACTGTGTGAAATATGATGAAAGTCTTCTACTAGTAACATATTAATCCAAATGTTTATCTTAAACAATAAATCAATAACAATTACATGTTGTATAATAATATTATTTTATATTTCTCATATTACTTATAAACAAGTTACACATGTTCAATCTTTATTTGATACTGACACTGGAAGAAGTTATTTTATATGTAATCCAATGTGATTAAAGTAGATTTTATTGATAATTTTCATTTATATTAGGTAATCTATTTTTAAAGTCGTCAGTATTTGTCCTAGATCTAATTGTAAATATACTAAACTAACGAATGTAATTATCTCATGAAAAAGTTACGTAAAAAGATATATGTAGGCATAGTTAAATGTCGAAAATGGTTTACTCATTCTACAACATATAAGATGAACCGGTAAATTAACAATGAAAATAGTATTTGTAGAATATTACACTTTCTATAGCAATAGAAATAAGTTAGTTCCTATCAAATCAAAACATTCGAGTATGTACTTAATGTAATCAAATTGTTCTTTCAACACAGATGTTTTCTTTGTGATCATCTTGACTGATAAGTAGCACTAAATATACAACAAAAGCAGACATGTTGAAGTAACATGATACTTTTCACATCAAAAATAAAAACTTTTATCCCATAAAACCTTTTGTAATCTCGTAATCATATATCCAACAAAGTAAAGCCATTCAAGTTCTAAGAATTTTGTAACTCAGATTCATATCTGAATGTTCTTTTTTTCTTTTCAATGAAGAATTCTGCATGTAATTTTACTACTCTTCAAAATTCAATGTTTTTCGATTCAAAACCGAACGGCTGTTTATTATTATAGAACATTATTTTTTTATTATACAATAAAAATTTTCTTAAAATTTTTTTTTTATATAAAACGAACATAACATAATAAATTTTCAAATAGTATCTGATTTCAATAATGATGATATTCATTGACTTTTAATTTCAGTTTTACTTTTTTATCTATTCTTAATATTAAAACAAAATAATATTCCCTAATGAATAGAATAATTATAGATTGAGTGTTTTTTTTTACCTCATAGATCATTATGCAAATAAGAACGAACAACTGGTTCATTCATGCATGTGTTTGAATTTTGAGCAGACAAAAAAAATGAAAAGTACAAAAAAAACGAGACAGAATAAACAAAGAAAGAGAAAAAAAAGATCGTCTACAATGCACAGAGAATAAAGTCATATTGTTTTACTCTGATATATATATATGTACGCTCTTCGTCTGATTTGTTAATATTGAAATAGGATGGAAAATATACATACAAATAAGATAATGAAATAGGACAGATATTTATTCGTTATTTTTTTTTTGTTTTATTTTTTAAACACGTAATGTAGATGAGATTACTTCTTTCTGTTCTTTAGTGAGTGTGTCCGGAAATTTAATATCGAATTTCACAACAATATCTCCTCGTTTAGTTGGTTGTTTTGGAAAGGGTAGGCCATCGCCGGTAAGTCGTTTTTCTGTTGTTGGTTTAATCACTTCATTTAATTGTAATTTACGCACACGAGATTGTTCAAGTGTTGGCACAGTAATTGTAGTTCCACACAATGCCTGAAAGAACAATAAACAATCATTTATATTTGATTGTTTTCATTAAGAACTTTTGTTGTTCAATATTCCATTAAATTCTCAATTTATGAGAACATCTATGTTTTCAAAACAATGACACGACTTATCAATAAATGTTCATCTTACAACAAATCTCTTCATTTAGATATGAATCGAAATAAAATAAACTTTCTTTTTTTCTAATTCTATAAAAATATATACACACGATTGCGTGTATTTTCGATTAAGTAATACACTATTCTCATTCACGTTTTTTTCTCTCTCTCTCTTTACATTTTTAATATGATGTAATGATTTAACAAAATAATGATTGATCGAGTGTCAATTCTATTATTTTTAAACTTACATCTTTAAGACTAATTTTGGCTGTATAAAGAAGATCACTACCATCTCGTCGAAAGACTGGATGTACTTTATCTTTAATAATAAATACAATATCAGCTGGTATTGTTGATGGACTTTGATCGCCTTCACGTGGAAATGTTATTTTTGTACCTTGTTTCCAACCAGGTTTTATTTCAATAGTTAATACTTTATCTTCCATACGGGTTGTACGATTGTCTGGATTTAAAACTTTCCGTGATATTTTCATTTTTTTTGTTGTGCCAGATGCTATTTCTTCGAGAGATACAAATAGTTCATGTTCAACAGGTGGATCTTGAGTTTTTTTTCGTTGCATTTGACTTTGTGGACCACCGCGTGCACCCATACCACCACCGCCAAAATGAAATCCACCAAGTCCAGGGAATCCACCAAAACCACCGCCACCACCTGGTCCATCATCATCATCACCTTCACCACCAAAAAACATTGCAAATGGATCAGCACCATTCTATGAGAAAATAATTTTTTTTATGAAAAATTTTAAATTAAAATTTTTTTTTTCGTTCGTACAAAAAACATGCGAAATGTTTGATGAGGATCAACATTGGAATAGAAGAATTGTTGGCCTGCTGCACCGGGACCACCACCACCTCCACCACCACCGGCTTTCAAACCTAAATAAATATGTACATAGTAAAAATATTGAATGCAAATATATTAATCCTATCTTACCTTCTTCACCGTATTTATCAAAGATTTCTTTCTTTTTTGGATCGGATAAAACTTCATAAGCTTCTGCGACTTCTTTAAATTTTTCTTCAGCACCTGCTTCTTTATTTTTATCTGGATGATATTTTAATGCACTAAATGAGCAGTCTCAAAAATATTTTTCATATTTTCAAATAATTTTATTTAGCTTACAGTTTTCGATAGGCTTTTTTAATATCATCATCAGTGGCACCTTTGCTTAAACCTTACAAGTACAAAAAAAATTAAATGAAAAATTTTGAAATTAATTATTTTATTTACCTAAGATTTTGTAATAATCTTTGCCCATGATATATCGTACTTAAGAATATATATATAGATATGTACGTATCGAGCAAAAATTAAATCTATAAAATATGAAAAGATTTGTTCATAAAACCGTGACTAATAGTTTTATTTTTTTGTGTTCTTCTTTTCTTCTCAAAACTACATCGAACTGTAAGACATAGTGAATAACATATAATTCATTCATTTTTTTTCCTCGCTTTCTGTATTGAATATGATGATTACGTATCGAATACAACGACAACAACAAGTATACCGTAAACGGTCCGTTCTATTCGCTAATACACTCTCTTGTGTCGTTCTTTCGTAAGAAGAAAAGAAAATTCTATTCGAGAAGGTACTCGAACAGTCGAGAATCACCGCGAAGCTTCGCTTCAGCAACAGAACAGCCATATGATCAGGGTATATACCAACCAAACAGAACAGAAAAAATTAGACATTCGTTAGTCTACTACCAATCCAATATCAAAGTCGCTACTATCAAATTGTTCAATACAATATTACTATGGATATTAATATAAAAATGGCGATAGCTTATTTCTACTTATAACTGAACAAAAGATAGACAATGTACATCGTAGTGCTCTAATTTTTTTATCATAAAACGCTATCTCTGATGATTTTCTTTGTATTTCATCTCGGTTACATAAACAGAGAAAGAAGGCTATCAATTAAGTACTACTCTAGAATCTCCAGTATTATTTTTATGAGATTCTCTTCTATTGAGATCTATTAAAATAAAAGTATAGTGTCAAATAAATCTTTTTGATTTTAAAGTGATAACGATTATATTTACGTTCTTGATATGATTAAAGACCAAGGACGTTACATGATCAGTTTGATGTAATTTATACAATTTTAATCTTGTAATCATTGAGTAGGTAGTATCATATTGTATTTATACATTGATAAAAGCAGTACAGGAAAATGAAGCGAATGTTTTCTGTCTACTAAAGAGTCATATCAGCATTACAAATAAAACACATAAACTTCAGCATAAAATGGCTTCAAGCAAATAGTATTACTGAAACCTTTCTAAGTAATAATATTCAAACAATATCTCATCAATAAATTTAGAGCGTTTGATGCAATTTATTGGTATGACAAAAATATCTACATAAAATTTATTATGTACATCGCGTTCTATAATATATTTTATCAGTCTGAGCAAAAGATGATATACAAATCTAATCAATAAGTTTAACACCATCTATGTTCATATTTTTCTCTTGTTTAAACAAAGTAGTTTGATTGTATAAACTAAGTAGAACGATATGAATAGATTATTGTAATTATTTTTGATTATATTCTTGCCAATATTGACTTTTAATAAAAATAAATATATAGAAGAAAATTAGAATAATTATAAGAATAAAATTTTGAAATACAGTTAAACGATTATTCAGACATAATTCAAAATTAGAATTGAGTGTAGATTTATCGGTATGGTTTCTAAATATAAATAATAAATAAATAATTGCAAATGGAATTGATCTTAATATAAATTACCTTTTCTGTTTCGATGATGGCATCATAATTAAGCGAACCATTTCGTCATAATCACTTTTGTTAAGACAAACTTCTATAAAAAAAATAGATCAATTCTTAGTATTAATCAAAGATTTTGATACGACTGAATCGGTAGTTATTAAATTTATATAGTATGAGTATGTTAATTCTCGATTCGAACTACTAAACTTACAATGTATGCTATGAGAAAATTGATATTTACTTTGATTTTCAATATGATGAACATCAGTAAACGTTGTCAACGGAATTCGATGTCGAGAAATACTATTAGGTGAAGGACGTGATGAGTGAATATCAACTTCAAATCGATCTCGATCGTTCAGTAAGAATATTTCGCTTTTAGATCGATCAGATGAATCAAATGTATGACCCAAAAATATTACGAATAACCATTAAAAAAAGATTCAATTCATATATATTTACTTGATAAATGTTTCTAGGAGATATAAATAATATATTTTGTTATTTATTCAATCAAAAAAAACACATATTCTTACATATTTCACTCCACGTCCAATATGTAATACAGGTGTAATAGTATTACCTGGTTCACGAATAAATTCAACATGTTTACTATCTGAACTAGATAAATGATAACATCCTGGATGAGAAGGACTCATCGATTCTGAATAACGTTCTTGAAGTAATGTTAAGGAATCACGTTTTGGTTTTGGACTTGTACATGAAACAATGGTACCACCACCAATTGTAAGTGAACGACGTCTAAATAAAAATATATATTTAAATTCTGTCGTTTTACGATAGTTTATTCTACAGTCAATACCGCATTTGTTTCTCCATCAAACGTTTATCGCCCTTAACTTCATCAATAGCAATATACGATATAAGCTCCGGTGTTGATAAAATATCTGTACTCATAAGATGTGATTTAAGAACAGATTTTCGTTTATGAGTTGTACTATCAATGTTTGTATTTGGAGTCAATTGTTCATTGCTACTATTATGATGTGGTATATTATTACGAAGAAGTTCAAGTGAGTCACGTGCAAGATGTAAACTACTTCGTTTTACTTGTTCATTATTTAATTTTGATTGTTCATCATTGTTATCAGTTATTGTTAAATTAGTTGATGCTGTTATTGTTCGAGTAATCACTGATGTATCATCATCAATTATTGGAATGTTTTTCAAATGAGAATCCTTTGAAAAAATAACAACTAATGTAATATAAATACTTTTTCTCTCTATATATATCAATGTAAAACTTACAGATGATTTCGATTGTTGTGATACTTCATCGATTTTATCTAAGAATGGTTGTATTCGTTTTGTTTTATCAGGTTGTTGAGAAATAAAATTAAATGAATTATCGAAATTTTTATATGAGAAAATAGTATCTTGTTGAGAAAGATCATCAGTAACATCATTCAAACTATTATCAGCTTCATTTTCATCATTTAATAATTGAATATATGTAGATGTTGACGAACCAGTTAATTTTTCTTCTAATGGGTTTACTAATTGTGTATTGGTTTTGTCTACATTCGATACTTTGTCATGCTGGAGTTCTGAGATCAGAGGTAGTTCATTTGAATCCGGATCTACAAAATGAGTATGAAGAATGATATAACAGTAGATTATAACATACTCGACGATGATTTTCTTATTGATAATGAATTCGCTGATGGATTATTGCTGATATGTATATTTTCTTTGGATAAATCGGATTCATGAAGTGACATGAGTTTTACTGGAGTTGAAATACTGTGTTTATCTGATGATTCTGGAATATAAACTGGTGCTCAAGTCTTTCGATTAATAAAAGTTGATATTATACCCTCATTTAAAACAACTTCATGTTTATCATTAAATCCCTTTAGATCGATATTTCGTGATACTATGTCTTTGTCAGTATGTTGTTGTTCAATTGGAAATGTTAATAGAGTTTTATTTTCCATTTCAAGTAGATTTGTTGGTATTTTTTCAGATAACAATGAAGTAACACTATGTAATTTTGTTGGCATTTTACTTAAATTTGGTAGTGATGTTGTTCGTTGTAATGTACTAATATCAACTATAATTAGAACAAATATTTCATATGATGATTAATTTAATATATATATATATATAGCAATATACTATTAGATTTTGAAATTCTTTCATGTAATTTAGTCAATTCAACGATAGATTGAGCACGTTGTTCATGTGTCATTTTATCTAAAATATACGAACCATAAAATTTCAAATTTATCTAATTTATATATTTACTAAAAATATCAACAAGAAATAATGAAGTCTTATGTAGTAAAGTATGACTTGTTGATTGCGAATACGAATCTCTTCGTGATACATTTGGTTCATGATCAATTTTATCTTGTAAATTAGTTAATGATATATAAGACATATTATATTTAATATCATGATCGCTCATTAATGATGATTTTTCAAATGGTATCATTTGACATCGATATGATGAATTGTATACAGATGGTTGACAGTTTATTCCATAACATTCAACACCATTTGATGAAATAATTAGAGAATAAAGTTGACTTTCTTCTATTCGATAACGATAGTTTATATATCGATCATATTGACGTTTACGTATTTCAGGTGTAATTATTTGTATAGATTTATGTCGACTTGGTTTTGAACTACGTCGAGTAATAATTACAAAATTTTCAGATGTATGAGAATCGATTTCTATGAAGATTATAAGACAAAATAAATAAGAAATATTGTTTTTCTTACTATCATTTGAATTAGTTACTATTTTCATGGGATTATCAGTAGTAAAATTGCCAGATGATGAAAATGTACTCAGTAGCTGTAAATTTTCTTTTTGGTTCGATGATGAAATTTTTTCATTTTGAGACGTATGATGATCGATTGCATTCTGATTTTTAGAGATACATTGTTTCGTAAAAGAAGACGTAGGCTCTTCTATTAGATAGAAATTATTATAATATTCAATAAATGAAAAATATGTATAAATCTTATATCATTAGGTCTTGTCTTTTGGATATTGAAAAATTTCCTTAATGTATTTCTATCGGAAAAGAACGAAGAATCACCTTACTTACTACGCCATGAGAATCGTTCATCTGATAATACTCGGTTTCGCATCCACTTCGATGAAGATCTATTGAACATGTTTTTATTTAAATCAATTGAGTAAGGAAGCTGTCAAACATCTTTCTGTTTGTTCTGAATGATATATATACATATAAGATAAACATAACATATGATTTGTAAAATCGGAATAATATTTAGAAAAAAAAAGATTTCTAACAAGGCGCCAATTATTTTTTTAAATCTATCTCGTATACTAACGTAAAATAGGAAACAGAATTGTTATTCAGAAAAATCGATAATCTATTGTCAACAGATTTTGTAACGAGTGGAGTTTTTTTCTTCAATGAAGTTTGTATTTTGTAAGAGCATTCGACGAGTTGTTCTTGCCTATTTTTTATTGATCGAATCACAAATAATGATGGAAATTACAGTAATACATTTATAGATAAAAAAAAAGAAAAAAAAACGTACATAAAATAAGAAAAGTAAAGATTAAGCGAAATATATATATGAATACGATTTGCAAGTTGCTATTTAGCTGCACATTTTCACATACGTATAAGACAACAGACTCACACACACACATACATATATATATATATATAATAGATTTTGCATTTTTACTGATAAATAGAGTTGTCATTTATAAACAAGCACAAAAAAGCAAGCTCTATTCGTAAAAATATATTTGTTAATCAAATCTTCTTATTATGATAGAAAAAAAAGAAGTTAAATTTTCCATGAATTTCGCATCATTAGATCAAAATACATATCATTATCGATAGAAGCACTAACGCCCGAATAATAATCGATGAATTCATCACGTGTTACCTGTAAATAAATATTAACATATTTTTTTCAAGTTAAACAATAAATATGAATCCTTACAACTCCATCTTTATGAGTACCATAATCAAAGGTATCAAGAAAATGCGCCAATACTTGATCTTCACTCCATGTACCATTCTGATATTTTGGATGATTTTTTACAATGTAAACACCGCGTAAATCGTCAACAGTTATCGTACCATCATGGTTTCTATCAATATATGAAAATATAATCGAAATTAGGATCAAATTTTTCTTTCAACATACTTATCAAGTTTTGCAAATGCTTTTGCAATTAGATCAAGACGAAAGTTAGTCATTGGAGGCTAGAATATTGATTAAGAAAAAAATGTTTAATAAATAACATTTAAGTGTATCTCTTATTAGAAAACATACTCGTAATCGACGCAAAAATTCTTCATAATCAATACTACCATTTTGATCACCATCCATTTTACGAAAAAGTTCCTCGGTTTCAGCTTTTGAAAAATTCAAACCATATTCTTGAACACCTTTTCTGAATTCATCCATATTTAACTTTCTATTTCCATCATCATCCATCACACGAAACAAACTAAAATATTAATATCATTGTATGTATATATTTATTAAGAAAAATATAGTTTATATCCTGGTCAGTAAATAATACTTTATTCTGGACTAATAGAAAAATATTTGAAGAAATAAACAATTCCGATATATAAATAATACGTACATTGATAAACCCTTAATACCTTGTGCACCTCGAGCCAAACATGCAGCACGTAAACGCTCTAATGGATCAGTTGCTACAGCTAATGCTTGTTTTGATTTAATTTGAAGTTCTTTTTGAAGACGAGCTGAACCTGCCATCTTATACTTATATAAAATGGGATTAAAACTCTATAGATTTCGATCTAAAAACATAGATTTTACAACATGTATATTAATATATACTCAAAACTGTCTTTAATAGCAGATAATTGTTATAATAAAAAGTCTATATTGCTGATATAAAAAATTATACTAGTGACATCACCATACAATGATTATGAATCAAAAAAGTTGTCATAGTAACAGATTTAATTACTCATAATTGATAAATCATTCTACCGAATACTATATTTTTTAAAACAATTTTTAAATTCTATTTTAGAATAAACAAAAACTTTTGAATATTTCTATAAAAGAATCCAAACCAATAATTCAAAAGTTAGTAAAGCGCTACTATCTATGTTTAATTAAATAACGGTTAGATTCATGAATCTGCTCTTTGTTTCTATGCATGATTGAGTTATATTCACAAACGGCCTATTTATTAAATCACGAACAATAAGAACAATACAATTTTTTTTTCAATACTCTAAAAAATATTATCATTATTGTTTTGATTCGTTCTTTTCTACTATATAACCTTCACACTTATATATCATGAAACTAATTGGACTCGAAGTGTTACTCATATATAAAATAAAGGACTATGATTTTCATGAGCTCATTTAATATCAATAAACATTAATTCCCTATATTTGAATGTATTTTATGTTTAGATTAGTTCATATACATATCTATATATCAATTTTTATTCGTTCCTTATTTCACATATTGATTTTTCTATTGATATTGTTTTATTTAACTCAATTGATATGGCAGCAACAATATATTGTACAACTAATAATGCCTTTCATCAACATTCATTAACGACAGCAAGATCACAATATTCACCTGTTCTTCGTCGAACAACTCTGTCAACATCATTTTCTTCTACAACTTCATTGACACATATTGATCAACAATCAATAATAAAAACAATAGAAAGTGATGAAAACAATAATGAACATCATCATGATATCGAAATTACTACATATGACGATATCGATAAAGTTCTATATATTACAAGTGATGATGATGATGATGATGTTGAAGATATTGATGTTAATGATAATGAGCATCATATGACAGATGATATTGACGCCGAAGAATTTTTAGCACTTGTTGGTCTTCGATCTAAAGCAAAGAAACCAAAAATTTCTAATCTAACATTACGACCATTAACTCAACGATTAGCATCTCCAGTATGTCTTCTTCCTATACCAAAATATAGTGAGCGTGTTCGACAAGCTTTATATATTCGTTTACCATTCTTGAAATTTTTAACAATTACACATGATATTGAATGTTTTTGCTCAACGGATGAAAATGCCAAAGCACAAAGTCTTCTACCACGTTCAATAGCACAAAAACGTGGTTTATCATCACTATATAAAAGTCCGAAAAAACGAAAACTGCCAAAGACAGGTAAATATAAAATAAATAAATATTTTAATACAAAAAGAAAACTTAAATCATGCTACCGTAGAATCAATATAGAAAAATAACAATAGTCAGCTCATAAAGATACTCTAGTTATCAAAAATATACTATATTCGAACTTGTTCTATTAATCTTTACGTAATTAAGTACTGCATATTGAATAGAAATTATCTGTAATTTTATCATAGTTTACACAACAATTACAAATATGATACCAGTGGCGCATCTAGGATTTTCGAAGGGAGGGCGATTCTTGAGTAGATAGGGGCGATACCTGAGTAGTGGAGGGGGCGATTTCGACTAAAAATTATTTCTGAGTTCAATCGAAGTAGTGTGAACCTATTTTTCGTTCAATTTTGCTGTAAAAAATCAAAAAAAGTTTTTTGAAGTGAGGCGACCGCCTCTTCCCCCCAAATCCGCCGCTGATTTATTTTGATCTAACACTCAAATGAGAGATTTATATTTGCATATTCAATAAAATCGTAGTTTTTCAAATCATTATCGATATCATTGTTTTATCATATTTCAAACCAATGAATTTGTAAACGAGATTCAAAAAACAATGTTATATATCTCTCAAAACTGTATTTCTTTTTATACAGAATTCATCAGTTTGGCTACTAATACACTCCGGCATAATACAAGTAAAATCTCAATATATAATCCAGTGCATTCGGCTCTGCAATGTCACGTCGTTCTTGATCGGTTAGGACAATCAACAATTGATCAAATAATGCAGAGTTCATCTGAAGATGATAATGCAAGTATTGCATCAGTCGTATGTATCTGTTCTATCTATGAGTGAAAATGTATATCTATATTATTTATCTTATCCTTTTTTTTTTCTTAGTCAATATCACATAAACTATTATATGAAACATCTGCCAAGACTCATTGTCAGTTGCCATCAACTACGAATGGAGCAACAGTACAAAGGACGATGAGAACGGACAAGATTGCCGTCAAACGTAAATTGACAACAGCAGAAATAGATAAGCGAAAACGATTCAAATCAGCGAATCATGATCGTTCTATGCGTACTGATGATAATATAGTAAATGATTTATCTTCATTGGCATATCAACGTATCTATTTAAAATGTTTTATTTGTTCAAAACGTGATTATGTCGATGCTAGAATGACAAATAGTGATGTTTTACATTCTCATTGGCTTGAACATGGCGGAAATTTATCATTAAATATATATGATTCCGAAATTGATTCAAAGTTGACACGTGTTGTTGAATTTTTTGATTCATCTAAACAACAAATATTAGAAGGAAAAGTTAAAACAATTTTTATACTTAATTCTAAAGAAATCAAATGTTCTTCGACAAACAATTTATCTTCAAATGATTCACTTATTGTTATTGATTAGTATATTATATATATATATTGTTTAGTTAAATTTGAAAATTGAAAAACGTTCTTTCAGGGATTAAATCGAAATAAACCTTTTTTTTTTCTTTAATATATTTTCTTTTGTTTGTTTTCTCTTTATTTATCTGAAAAAACGTATAACCCATTTTGTTACCTATCTATTTTTTGCTTGTGTATGTGTGTGTGAAGTTTTGTCTACAACGAACAAATAACAAATGTTCATGCGAAGTTCTTTTCTTTTTTCTTCTGTTTGATGGTGTTCTTTTTTTTCTCCTTTTCTTCCATCAAAATTTGAAAACTACAAGAAGTGACATTGGTGTAAATACATAATAACATGGAAGAAAATTTTTCCTTTCATCAATTATCAATTTGAAAATCATACACATTTATACATATAAATATATACATATATATATTTCTATTTGTACCAAATATTAATCAACAAAATTTATTTTGGAGAATTTAATATATGATCCTTCTTGCCTCATGAGCTTGATTCAACAGGCAATCTTCAATTTTTTGAAGCAAAATTTTTCTTTACAAAGGTAATATAAAAATTATATTTTTCTTCTTTTAATGAAACTTTCTTTTTCTAATTTATAGGATACTTCACAATAACATCGTCCAGGACGAAGACCAATCACGATAATTGTTTAATTACAATATGTATGGATAGATTAGAGTATTATTTTATCAATATCTTCCTGGATATTTAAAAAAAACGGGGATAGGGATCACACATGTTTATATTTATATCTCATTTATGTATTCTTTTTTTTTCATATTATTCATTATTTTGTCGGATATCTTGCTTTCAAAGCACATTATTTGTTCTATTCAATGAAATAAACTTCGTAAACTCACTGGCTTTCTTGTTTTATATGATTTATATTTTAAAAAAAATGTAAATGAGCACTAAACTTCCATGATGTCAGCTACCCCTATGATTGTACATTATCTGAATTTAAATAAAAATTCTTACCGTTTTTATGACTCTTACATATATTAAAGTTTTACGGATTCTTTTCTTCATTTAGTAAAATCTATAGTTACGATGTAATCTTCTCTTCCGAATTTGTCATCAACAGTATAGTCATATTTCTTTTCTTCTATCCTTTTATTCTCAAGTGTTGCGTGTGTGTGTGTGTCGACACAGCAGTTAAGAGGAGGCTGATTCATTTTTCACCTTTTGTAAATACGAATAAGTGGCTAGTGCAAAGACAAAAATATGGCAAAATCTTTTTTTCGCAGTGTTACTGATCAAATAACAGGTGGTGGTAGTAAAACGACTGATATACAAGTAGTGCAAGCTATTAATCGTTTCGATGAGGAACATTCAAAATTAGAAAGATTAAAACGTGAATTCGATAAATATACTCAAGCGAAATTAGTATTTGATAATGCAACAATTCGTTTTTTTGATTTTATATGTTCATTAACCGACTTTTCTAAATGGCCTCAACAACGAACATTAGTTCAATCATGTACCGATATACAACGTACGGATAGTGAATATTTACAACGTGTAAATAGACAAATTAATTTAAATATTAATTCATCATTTGAGATATTTAAAAAAATGCAAATACGTATTACTGATCAAGATCATATACAACATGATTATGATAAAACACGTAAACAATATCAGTCAAGTATAAAACGTGATGAAAAAATTAAAGTTGATCGTATTAAAAATGAATTAGATCAATTAAAATCTGCATTAGGTTTGATTAATAGTGAATTACGAGATGAATTACCAAAATTTCATCTCGATCTTCAACATCATCATATACAATTTATAAAAGAATTATTTGAATTAAATGGAAAATATCATAAAAATTTATATAAATCTCATACACATTTTATGAGAAATCTACAAGAAGATGTTTCAACAAGTTTAAATAATAGTGGAAATGTTTCGAAAATCGAAACAGAATCATCTATTACCGATTATGACAAGCAGAAAGTAACATATTGTACACCATTATCACGTCCAAAACGAACTGATTACAAAGTATTACATCAAGCACGTGTTGTTCATGATTACAAAGGTGAAAATGAAGATGAAATCGATTTAATCAAAGATGAATATATATCTGTTATTTCGTTTGAAAATGAAGAAGATAATACACGTGATAGCGGCTGGGAATATGGTGAAAAACTTGATGGAACTATTGGACTTTTTCCAGTTAATTTTGCCGTACGATTATATGATAATGAAGAAAAACAATAAGAATACAACAAAATGAAACCATTAGCGAAGTATATGAAATAGTACCTGTCCGTTTATATTAATATCAAAATAAACTAGATCCGAAACATTTTGTAAATACTATAGATAAAGAAAGTTTATGATGTATTCACGAGTATTTACAGTAGATGTTTGATTTCAATACATGAATTAAAAATTTAATACATTAGATTAGTGTGTTTCTGTGTTGTTTTTACTAGTTGTAATTAGTTGTAGAATTTAATAAAGAAATCATATCGAAATGTATGCATTTTCCTCATTGAATACATACATAAACAATTCGATGAGTGGGGTTTATTTATTTTCATCTTGAGGGTGTGGGTGTTTCACTTCGTATTTCTATTCTACTTTCACTCACACCCACGCTTGTGAAATGTTATCTATGACAATAGCTATTACTTATAAATTTATGGGAAATTCGATTGTAGGTGTCCTATTTATATCATACATATACAATTACTCAAATTTTATATTAACCGGGCGTGTCAAAATAGAAGTAATAACCATCATTTACAGTATTTTATTTGTATTAGATAGACGTGAAATAGTTTAGCCATTTTTTATCTTAATTTACGCACCAGATTTTAAATAACTATAATTCAGTATGTATTTCACCTTCTTCATATAATATTGTACTAAAATGAATAAAAACAAAATCTGTATGATATATTTTATTGTTATAACATTAAATATATTCATTCAGTTCTAACTGTATGTAATTAACAAGTTCATCAAATTGATAAACTTTAAATATTCTTATTTTATTTTTCAGATGTCTGACATTTGGTCATTAGGCATTCAACGTCTTCTTTCTCGTGTTAATTCATTTTATCGATCAGGTTTCTTTTTTGTGAAATTTATTTTAAATAAAAATCCTGTTGATAGGTTCGAGTAAATCAAAATGTAAATTATTTCTATGTAATGCTCAACAAATCGGATGGATTCGTGAAGATACTGCAAGTCAACTTCGTCAATATCCAAATGTATTTATTGAACAATCGGATCGGTATATTGAAACAACGGAAAAATAAATAAATAAACTGAATTATTCTTGTTAGGTTTATATTATCAGATCATTTAAATACTTATGAAACTCGTTCGGAAGCTGTTGCTAAAGTTTTAAATGATATGCGTGCAAAAGATTCTTTAAAAACATTACGAGGTTGGCGAGATGAAGTAATTTATATAATGAATTTATTTAAAAAGATTCAGAGTATATAGAGATCTTTCTATCATTTAGCTTTATCTTGTAAAATCAGCGTATAGTAATCCACCATTATTTGCTATTGAACGAGCTGCTGCAAGTATGAAAAGAAATCTTCTATTATTTTATGAGTTAAAAGAATTTTATTTTAGGTGCATTTGGTATTCGAAAATATGGTGCACATTTAAATGGATATGTTATTGATGATGATGGAACATGGCGAATGTGGATTGGAAAACGATCGAAAACAAAACAAACATTTCCTGGCATGTATGATAATTTAGTAAGTAGAAAAATGATATTCATTCGAAATCATAAATTTATTATTTATTCTTCTTCTAAGGCTGCAGGTGGTCTTGGTCATGATTTGACACCAACTGAATGTATGATCAAAGAATGTGGAGAAGAAGCACAAATTCCTAAGGAATTAGTAGTTGGAAAATTGAAATCAGTTGGAGCTATCAGGTATGCATAACCAGAAAATACATGTCTAGATTCAAGATAAAACGATTCAGACACATGATATCCTTGTTGTCTAAAAAATATTGTCACACTCATTTCATACCATAGATTATGAAATCTTTAGATTTAATTTTTGTCTAAATCTGTAACTGAAACCTTCAGACAGATACTGTCCGACATTGTAGTAAAGGATAAAATAATCAGCAAGGATCGTATAAGCGTGTGGAGATGTATGTTTTTCTAATGACAAAAGTAAATTTCCGCTTTTTTTGCGAAATTTTATTGCAAATATTTCTATTACATTCCCGAATTTTAGGTCCTTTGCTCGATCTCTGACTGTCAGAAGGTTTAAGTCATGTTGACATTTATAATAAATAACAATTCAACAAGTAATATTCATGAATACAAAACAATTCTTGATCATTTTTTCCACTAGTCGTTCACTAGACATCTAGTAACTATATCTAGATTGAACAGTCAAGGTGAAGGACATTTTGTCCTTAAATTAGTACGAAATATCATTCCATCTGTCACATAGTAGATTAGAAACTTTGTCCAACAGTTCTATCAAAACTCAAAACAATCGCATTCTTTATTGAAACTAAAAACAAACAGTGTATTCACTATCTATTATTGCTTATGTTCTTTCATAGTCAATTGTAAAAGTTTCAACAATCAATGTGAATGGTATTGTTTAAGAACTTGTAAAAATTGATCACTAGTCTCTTATTTCTATTCTTTCATCATCAATTGAATTAATTTCTTTTAGCCTTCATTATATCGATTTTTCCTTTATCGTCTATGTCTCACCTTCTATCGTTAAATATATTGATTGAATTCTAGTTTTAAATTATCTATTGACTATTGTCTAGTGAGTTATCATTTGCAGGTCACTTTTTGTTGCTTTATTGTAATTATACAATGACGATTGTGCCTTTTGTTTCCAATTATAATAATTTCATCACAAAAGGAAATGTATAGAAAGAAAAAAACTATTATTGAATAACTTCACGGTAAAACAAAGAAATTAATTACCTATAGTCGCTAAATGAAAGACTGCGTACATGTGTAGTACAAACATTGAGACTTAAGGTCAACACATCGATAGATAACTTGACATTCAAATAATTTGTCAAATGATAAATAATCAACATGATCTAACGAAGAAAAACAAAATTCAACAGATTGTTTTACCTTCAATAAGAATATCAAACAATACTTTTATTGTATTGTACTTTTATAAACAAATAGTTGGATTTTGATTATATGAATTGATTTCTTTTTTTTCTTCTTCTTGTATAGCAATACTTATGAAGATGAAGATGGTATACATGTTGAAGTAAATATATTTACATAAAAAAATCAATGTATATCATAATGTTATTAACTTAGGGTGAATTTATTTATGATCTTCAGTTACCAACGACATTTCAACCAAATAACAGTGATGCAGAAATGGAAAATTTTTATTTATGGACAATACCTGAAGTAAATATGTGGTTTGATATTTCTCTTTATTGTTTTATATATCAAATAGGTAAAAGAAGCTATTATAAAAGATGATTTCAAACCAAATTGTGGTATAGTTGTACTTGATTTCCTTATTCGTCATGGCTTTGTCACACCTGAACAAGGTTAGATTTCATCAATTAAATCAAAATTATTTTAATTTTCTTTGTTCCTCTGTTTTACAATTATAGAATCCAATTATTTTGACATTCTATCACAAATACATATGCCCGGACATTAATCCTTATCATATATCGAATATTGAAGGACAAATGAAGGACAGACAATATAAAAGAACCTTGATTGGATATATTTGTATGCACACAAAACAATAATAAAAAATAAATATCTTTATCTTTTGCTTTTAGTAGTTTTCTCTACACCATTATTATATATTAATAAAAACTAACATACAGTCTTTTTAAAAAGAAAGTCGATTTTTTAATAAGAACAACGTTCTTAATAACAGGAAGTAGCTGGAACAAATCGTTTTGCTACTCTATCATAGATTTCCGTTATATAATTTGTTTGTACGTGTCCAATAGAACCATAATAATTGTTTGCATAGCTATTGGTAAAATTTAAATGTTGTCGAATTGTATTACGACCAGGTTTATGATGTTGATTGCCATATGAAGAAGGAGCATGATCTTTATGAGATCCTCGTATTGTAGGTGAAAGTCGTTTAAAATCTGTTATTTTTTTTGTACTTGATTTCTTTTTACTGAATAACATTAATTCGTTATGTGATGAAGATGTTGTAAGTCGATTTCTTTTTGGTAATTTTGTTGTACCAATTCTTTCGTATTTATCAATTTTCTTATGCCTATTTTCTATAACAACTTCATTGTCAGATGATGCTTTCTTGCTTGGAACCCGTTTAACCTGAAGTAATCATGAAGAAAGTATAAATTAAAACAAAGCTATCAATCATTTACCTTTTCTGAACTACGTTCTTTTTTTGTTGAGTAGTCAATTGGAATAATTTGCATTGATTTCGTACTTCCAGATGGCTGAATATTTGATGTTGGAAAATGATTATTTATTTTTGGTGATTGAGGTTTTGGTTTTAATGGTTGAGCATTTTCTTTTGGTGATTGAGTATTGGATTTTAATGATGGAGTATTGGATTTTATTGATGAAGTATTGGATTTTAGTGATGAAGTATTGGATTTTGGTGATGGGGTACTGGGTCTAGGTGATGGAGTAGTGGACTTTGGTGATGGAATATTAAATTTTGGTGAAGGAGTATTGAATTTTGGTGATGGAGTATGGGATTTTGGCGATGGAGTATTTGGTTTTGATGTTTGAACATCTTCCTTTGGTAACTGAATATTTGATTTTGGTGAATCAGTGTTTGTCTTGGACGGTTGAACATGTTTTTTTGCCAATAGTTTTATACATGACGAATCTACTGACGATATATGAATAGTAGTAGTAGCAGCAGCAGCAGTAGCAGGAGGTGAACTAGCAGAGCTTGGTGATGAATTTGATTCAGTTGAAAGTGGTGGTGGTACAGGATGAGGAGCATCAGGTGATTGTTGTTTGATTGGAATCTCAATTGCTTTTGCACTCTTTATATTTCTTATTGTACCCATATTTTGTTGTTGTTGTTGTTCTTGATGTCGACGTTTTTCAACAAGTACACGATCAAACAAAATTAATTGTTTTAAAAAACCATCATTTGGTATGACACATGGTCGAGCTTTAACAACATGCGTAAGACATTGTTCTAATGGTACATGATATGTACGCATAAGATAAGCAATAACAATTGCAGGTGATCGACTAATATAGAAAATTTATAATATTGTTATTATTTTCTTTATTTCAAACAAAATATATGATTATTTACCTTTGTCCATGACTACAATGAACTAGTACACGAGAATTTGCTCGCCTAGCTTCATCAATAAATGCAAACGCTTGGTCAAATATACATATAATATTTTCTCGATCATCATCACGAAGATCAATAGTAAGTACACGCATATCTTTTGAATAATATGGGCATAATTCAACATCACGTTTAGCAACATTGAGTATATAATGAATGCCTAATCTTGATAGACGATGAACATCATGAGCCGATATACAATTACCTAAAAATAAATACGGCTGAAGTACAAGAGATGGTTCAGGTACATTGTAATGCGTTTTAAATAATCGATGAAGTCCATTAAGTCGGGCTTCATGTGCCAACATCTGCCCAAAATTCATTGTTCCCATATATGATCGATGTGTTATGGTAGACATTTGATGTGTATAATTGAATACTTGATAACTGAATGATCACTGCAACACGTAAGACGAACAAAATGTTGTATATATGTCTACTGAGTGTATCTTTTTATTTGTCTTTTTTTCTCTCTCTCTCTCTATTTCTCTCTTCGTTCTTTCTCTTTTATTTATTCATATGTTGTCTCTGTTTTATAGTACTTCGACGAGAAGTAGAACGTAACTACTCATGCATACCCCTATATCGCTATATATAGATAAATCGAGACAATATGAGTTACGAACGAAAGATAATGACATGATGATTGAATAAGCATGATGAATAATGACAACATAGGTAGAAATGATTATATATCGTGAGATCAATCGAATTATTACGGTATTAAGAGAGACAGAGCAAATAATTACTTTTATTAGATCTCAATGAAAAAAAAAGTTTTAAATCTATTTAATTCCTAAAAGAAAACGATTTATGATTTTTTTTTGTCTTTATTATTCATCAATTCAAGTTACTTATTCCATTTGAATTAATTAATTAATATCATGGAAGAAAAAACAGGAAGAAACTAATAGAATAGACCTTGAACTTGATCGTCTATACATATAATTTGTTTTTTTACTTTTATTAAAAGGCCATCTGATGTATATCATTCTTTTCTGTCAATCATCCAAATCAATAATTGAAAGTCAATAGAACAAGAATATAAGATATTATTTACTAATAGTTTTCTTTTAATAATCTTCCAAAATCAAAACGAAGACTGTTTTTCAGCACATATACACGCACACAACAAACAATAAAAATACCCAAGGCACACAAAAAAAAAACAACTCTGTTGATAACAAAAGAAAAATATAAAGAATAGAACTATCGATAACAAGACGATCGATTTCTCTTGTTGGTTATTCTCTTGAGCATTCCATCAACAATAAACAACAACAACAACAGAAAATAAATAATAAATAAATATATATATAACCATATGTATGTATGTATGTATGTGTGTATATATATTCAAACAGAAAAGAAAAACAATGGAAAATCTTTTTTTTAAAACAAAACAGATAAGGCTAAAATTGATGTTAAATATATACGTAATCAATCAAATTGAATCTTATTTTTTTTTGTTGTTATAGATGTTAATAAGAGAGTCTATTTACGTCCAGTAAAACCGAATTCAGTAGCATCATCTTCAATTTGATCCGAATATTGCCAAAGACCAGCACGAGAAGATTTTGCCTTTGCTTGGGCTTGTTGTAATTCATCATATAAAGGTGTTGGACGTATTGGACGACCACCACGTCCTTGTGCAATAACAATAAGACCTTGTTCAGCTAAATTTTTAACGATATTTTCTTTTGTACTAGCACGATAGAGTGATACATGTTCACCACTATTTTGACGATATTCAACTTTCATTAAACATTCATCATTTCCTATTTCTTCAAGTAAAGCATTTTTAGTATCTTCACGATCATCTGTATCAGGTGGTGGGCGAACATAAGCTAAATCATATTCATGAGCTTGAGTTGGTAATTGTGAAAAACCTAGACAAAAAAAAATATTTTATAGAAATAGCTTCTACTATTGCAAAAAAACTTTTAAAAGAAGAAATCTAAACATATATATATACCTGGTGGTAATGTTGTAAGTCGGCCTAAATCAGTGATTATTTCTCGATTACCATAATCAACAAAGTAAACTGATATACGATTATTTCCTTCAACTTTTTCAACACGTGCTCGATACCATTCATTATCAGCTGTAAAACGTGCAGCTAATAATTCACCTTTCTTAGGTACATGTCCACCAACAGGTTTAGTTTGACTGAAAATATCGCGTAATTCAGATTGTAATTGTTCAACTTTTGATCCTTGTTCAGAAAATTGCACATAGACTTTTAATTCAGTTGTTAAATGAGTAACAACAACACGACGAAATCGTGAATCATTAAAATTAATTGTTGTTGAACCTAATACAACTTCATCTGATGTATCTAAGAAATTAGTGAAAGAAATTTTTCAATGAATGAATGAATTAAATAAAATTTAAGAAATTACTTTCAGTATTATTATCATTTTCATGTTCATCATCATCTTTTGCTACTGGTTCTTCATAGTTAGTCCAAACACCAGTACGTTCTTTTCGACATTTATCTTCAGCTTCAATTAATTGTTTATAAACTGGTGTTCCATAAGCTGAATCATGAACTTTAGCAAGACCATTTTGAACAAGCATAACAGCAGCTGAATGTCCATCGGCAGTTGTTAAACGACCAATAAAATTACCACCACGATCCATATTTTCGATTTCAACAAAAACATCACTAAAATGAAGAGAATTGAAATGAATTCAAGAGAATATTGATTTTACCGTTGTAAGAAATGTTCTTTTGAGAATGTTAATGCTTCAGCACCAAATGGTTCACCTGGTTCAACTTTTGATTGTTGTGGATTTCCAGCAACAGGAACACGTCTTTCAGCACGTGGACAATTAATTGATGATAATAAAAATGATATTACCCAATTATCTTTCAATAAATGTACACGAAAACGAGAACCACTAGCAACAAATTCAACAACACCTTCCATACGACCATTACGTTGAAGAACGCTTAATGAACCTTTAGCTCGTTCTTTATTTGTATCACCTGTCATATCAACAGTACGACTAAGACCAGTACCATTAGAAAATAATCCAACAGCACGTTTTTCTGCTTGTTGTTCAGCAGTTAAAAGATCATCTATTAAAAATCGAAAAAAATGAATAAAGAAACAAACAAAACAAAAATATCTTACCATAATGAGATGATCGTTGTTCATCATCTTGTCGATGTCGTACAGTTTTAGCTAAACCTTTAGAAATTAAAGCTTCACCAAGATTAACATTACCAGCATAGACAGTACAACAAATTTTTTCTGGATAATCATTACTTGCTGCTTGAACATAATCAGTAACAACACGTACAGTTTTACCAATTAAACGTTTACGTAATAATTCACGTGCTTCAAATAAATATGGAATTTCATAAAGTGGTCGTTTTATTTGTTGACGATTAGCATTTGGATTATTTTCATCATTTTTGGTTTGTAAATCAGCAGCACGTGGTGCACGAACAGATGAAAGATAAATCTTTTTAACTTTATTATCACGTAAATCACGAATAGTTAAAGCATCACCATTGATAACTTCTAAAACTTTAGCCTAGAAAAGGAAAAATAATAATAAATATAAAATAAAATATCAATTAAAATTTACTTGATATCCTTTCAAAGATGGATCACTTGTTTTTCCATTTGATGCAGAAGCACCTGTTTCATTACTATGATTATCATTATCAGCATGTCCTGATTGGGCAACATAATTTTTCCAAATTCTTAAACGATTATCTTTAGCATGTTTTTCTGTTGCACGATATTTTTCTCTCCATCCTTGTTGTAATAATGTTAAACTCCAATCAACACATTTAGCTAAACCTTCTTTTAATAGATGTAATGCAATATTTCCATTTGGATGTAATAATGTTCCAACTAAATTTTGATTATTAACACCATCTAAAATAACTTTAACTTGTCGTTGTAATAAACGTGTATCAACAAATTGTTTTGCTTCTTCAGCAAATGGTTCATTTGTTTCATTTGTTGAACCACCTTCACGTTTTAGCATTGGACATTTAATACCAGTTAATTGTATTGTTGCCAAATAATATGATGGTAATAAAAGACAACGTACTGTACTTCCATCACGTACAAATTCGACAATAGCATCTATTGGTGCTTGTGATTTATGTTCATCAACAAATTGTTTAGGATTATCAACTGACCATTTCATATTTCGTACATGAAGTTCAGATAATTGATCAGAATATCGTCCATGTTTATTCGATTTAGCTTGTTCATCAATAATAACTAAACGTTGATATTTTGTATCATTTGCACGTGCACCTGTTTGTTCTCGTAATTGAACAAGACCTTCGGATAATAATGATTCAATAATATTTTCACCTGTTTCTTTATCTTTGCCTAAATAAACTGTGCACATTAAACGATTACTTTGTGGTATCGTAAAATCAATTGTATAACATATATCACGACCAACTAATTTTTTACGTAAAAATTCTCGAGTTTCAAATGCATATGGTTCATCAACAGATGAACTTCCAGCACTTGTATCAGTTGGTGGACGTGCTAATTTAGGTGCTGTTATATAATTTAATGAAATTCGTTGTTCATTTTCATTAGCCGATGAACGTGTTGTTGGTTTTATAACAAGTGTATCACCGGAAAAAATTGATTTAACAACGGCATGGTGTAATGTTGCTGATGCTGGTGATGATGATGATGACGATTGTTGATTTGTTGTCATTATTGTTGTTGAAAAACAAAGAACAAAACAAACAAATTGATAATAATCTAAAATATAGAATTTTTGTTAAAATAAGAAAGATAAATTTTGTTTTATTCGTGTTTTTTTCTTTTCTTTTCTTTTGTACATATACAAATACAATAATTAAACAAAAATAAATTAGTCAGGATGAGATAATGATAAAGGTGGACGAAATTCAATCATAAGAACATACTCTTGTACAGCATTATTTGGACATTTTTGTTTTGTTAAACGCCAATGTAAACCAAGTTTATGATAGAGACGAGCATTTTCCCAATCAAGAACTTTACTTACAGCATTTTTTGAACGTTTATTTAAACATAATACAGGACATAATGAAAGGCCAATTGTACAGCAACAACATATACAACCACAAAGTAACCTGAAAGAAAGAAAGAAATATGAAAATGTTTTTTTTTCTAAGAATATGATTTACCATTTAAAATTAATTGGAACATTTTTGCGTAGAATTAAATTAACACGTTTGATCGTTTCTTGATATTCATCTCGAGAGACTTTATGTGTTAAAGCTTGTGGATATTCTTCATCAAATTTATTATTTAATGCAAAGACTGTAACATGACCAGCGCCACGAATTAAAATTGGCTCTGCTAATCGTGGAAGATATGTTGGTAAAAGATCATTATTGTCATCATTAATTGGATATTGATTTGTTCTTATTATTTCATTTGAATTTTGTTCAGGAATAATATCCACTTCATCCATAATTAAATATTTACTGTTGAACCATTATCTAAAATAGATAAAAATTAATTAATCTATACCAATATAATCATAGTTTTATTTATTATGTAACTCTTTACATGATAGTCTTGCAATATATATGTTCTCTATCGTATTGAGATTAAAACACAGTTGTATTTTATTCCCATAAGTTATTTTTTCTTTTATAAGATTTAATTTATTCTCAATTGAAATCAAAAAAAGAACTTACCTATAAACTGCAATCGTCTTTTAATATACAAATGAAATGTTATTAATTATCTGTTTGGCCATCGTAGAATAAAATCTAAAATGACTTCGTTTTCTTCCTTCTTCTTCTAATTACTGATTTGATAATCGAATTTGTTGTAAAATAATAAATTCAATTTTATGCTTAATTAAATCTGAAAAACAAAAACAAATCTAAAGGTATGTAAATACAAATTTTTCTCTATTTTTTCTTTTGGCCTTTCGTTTGACCAGTCGCATTTTCTTCAGCTATTCTCGATGCTGCTTTAGCTAATTTACTACGTTCAGAAACAAGTTTAGCAAATAATTTCATATCAGTTTCTTTATCTTTTGCATCTGGTATTGGTGCTAATGGATCAATTGGTGTTGCAGGTGCATCTCCTTCGCTTGTAACTTCTGCTGTTGATGATATACCCATTAGTTTTTGTAATTGTTGATGTGCTTCTAATTTCTTAGCTGCTTTACGTGCTTTCTTTTCTTCAGTTTTTTGTGCTTCTTCTAATTGTAATAACATAAACTGCATCCGTTCATCATCAGGATCAACTGAAAATCCATAAAAATCACGTGCTTGTTCAGCTAAATCACTTTTAACTTTCACTTCAGCTTTTTTAGCACGTTCACGTTCAATTGTTCGTTTACGATAATCTTCAACCATTTTAGGCATATTTTTAAGATTCTTCTCAACTTTTACTTGACTTGAAAAAGAAGAAGAAGAAAAACAAATATTAATGATGATACAAGAAACAAAAAAACAACATTTCTTATCTTACATTTGATCAATTTCTTTTTGTTTGGCTTCACGTCGTTCTTTAACTATTTTTAATTTCTCATTTAATTCCATATTATATACACGTTCATCATCCATAATTTCATTCATTTCAGTTTGTGTTGGCCAACAAAGTTTAGGATCTATACCTGTTTTACGACCATATTTACCCCATAGTGTACGTAATTTTGTTCTTGTATGATATTGTTCTTTAATTTCTAATGGTGGTAAACCTATCCTATAATAATATAGATATACAAGAAATATTTAATAATCATTTTACCTTTAAAATGTCGATAGACATCATCAGGTAAACGTGAAACATTTCTATTTATATCTGTATTAGATTCAGTATTATCATTTAATGGTGATGGTATTGTATCATTTGTTGTTGATAGGGAACGATTTGCAATAATAGAAATCGAAAAATGATTAATAAATCTTGTACATCTAGGATATAATGCTGTAGTAAGCATTCGAAGAAAATTTATCGATTGATAAAGGACTAACTGAAGTGGGCTACGAACGATGGATGGATGAAAACATACATCTATGATGACGACGACGACATGATCGAATTTATGTAAATAACCAATTAAAAATATGATGGTGTTGGAATGTTTGGACAAGATATTCGATAGATTTGAAAATAATACAATGAAAGAATAATCAAAAAGTTTTATATATTATAATATATTATCAATATGTTCATTTGAACTTTCTCATACGTAGGCGGACATAGATGACGCTTTATATTCATCAGTCAAATATTACAAATTAAATTATATTTTTTCAAGTTTGACTTTTCAAAGTATTTCTATCTCACTAATTTAATATTATAATAATTATGAATAAAATTTTTGAAATTGATATCTCAAAAAAGTTTCCTATGACGTATTAATTACAATTTAAATAATTTCAAATATCTCAGTAAATTATTTCGTATATAAATAATAATCATTTTTAGTTTAAAAAAAATATTAAGATAAATAGATCATATTTTAATGCGCCTTTAATGAAAATGATTTCGTTTATTTCCATGAATTATGTCAATACATTGTCGACATGAGAAAAAAAATCAATTACCATCAGATGATGAAGTAAATACAAAACCTGTTGGTTATACTCATATTATTGACTCAAAATTTGCACCAGAAAAACATTTTGAACCATGGAATTTATCAGATATTTCAAAAAATCGAGAATACTTTTCAAATAATAAAATAACCAATAAAGCATCGTGTAATGAGGTTCACTTTTCTACATGTAAAATCTATAATTATTCCTCAATTAATTTCAGGTGAACCATTGAATCAGCCATCTTCTTCACGTAATTACGGATGGAATGAAATTGAACAAAATGAAGAGGAAATAGAACGATTACGTCAATTACTTCCTATTTGGGATGCTGAACGTATCGCTATATTAAAACTTCAACATGATTTAGATAAAAATATTTTTAAACGTAATAAAAATCAGTAGGATAAACGTCATAAAAAGAAAATCTATTTTCTATTATAAAGGTACACTTGACTATATTAAACGTATAGGTCAAAGTATTGGATTAGGTCTTTGGTTATGGGTACATCGTCCAGCTAATTGTTCTAATATTTCTAATCTATATCAACAACAACAAAGATCCCCTGATTTAATCTGTTCACCATGTCCAGATGTATTAAATGATTCTTCATTAGAAAAAAACCATCATAAACAGGATTATTTACTACCATCGATCGAGAGTTTATCTGATTCATTCTGGCTTAAACGTCTCGTTCTGAATGAACCACAAGAATATTTGCCTCCAATAGTTAGAGCTATGAAAAATATGCTCGATAATAATGCACTTGTTTGGAATTCTGAGAAACAAGAAGAAAGTGTTTGGCCACATTTTATAAATCAATATCGAATGACACAAAATAAATCATTTCTTCGGAATCTATATGGAAATAATGAATATGAAACAAATTTCTCTCAAAAATTATCCTCATCATCCAAACATACGACGAATGAAAAGAATTTAGATATACCAATAATGCCAACGAGTACAACTGGAATAAATAAAAAATCACCTCGACAACTGGGTACTTCAGTACAACAGAATACAATCATTCCTTCGATACATTTTACTAAAAAGCCGATAAAACAAAAACAAGCACCGAATGAGGTTACTATTTCACAATCAGTAGACAATCAGTCTGTTCTCAAACCGCATGCATCATCATTGACGAAAGATTCAAATAAAAATATAAAACAAAAACAAGATTTAAAAAAAAAACGTTAGTAAATGAATTTTTCTATATTATTCATCTTTTTCAATAGATCGATCTAAGTCAAAAAGCAAGAAAATAAACTTCGCTAAAGCAAAACATCGAACACCACGCAAACCATCGAAATCAAAACGTCAAAGATCGCGTAGTCAATCAAAAAAGTCTCAAAGACATCGTCCAAGCAGAAAATCAACATCTCAATCAAGATCTAAAAGACATAGGTCATCCAAAAAATCAAAACAACAGACATCACCGCATCGATCAAAATCAAAAACTAGAAAGTCTCATCATAGATCGAAATCAAAAGGTCGAATATCACCTCGACGTTCAAAACGAAAACATATCTCTAGTCACAAAATCAGATAGACAATACCAATACATGTATATTAAATCGAGTTCATTAATCAAAATGTGTATTATTAGTATAAGAATTTGAAAAAAAAACTGTGTTATTAATTTAAGTCAAGCCGATTTTCTTTTAAAAGCTAAATTTTTCTTGCATATAGAAAGAAAAAAAGAAAACATTCGATATAAATCACAGCAGTCAATATTTATCATTCGATCTAGAATTTATTCGCATCCATATTTTAAGTATCATATTTTTTCCATTCCATTCCCTATAAATATAATATTCATTATAGAAATTTTTATAAATAAAAAAATATTTTATTTACGTCAGGTGGTTTACATTCAGTTTTTGTTTTTGAAATTTCATCCCAATTTGTACTTAATACAGTACCACCTGATTCTGCCTATAAATATAATATTATATATATATAGAAGTAAAAATCATTAGAAAACAACTTACAAAACTTTTGTTCATTGCTCGTTTTTGTTCGTCGGTTCCATCACGATAAATTTGTTGAAATAAACTATTATATATTCATTAAATCAATTGTATACGAGATTTTGTTATACTTACTGATTCAATGCTGCATCACCTTCAGGTTTCTCTTCTTTTTCTTCTTTCTTTATTTCGACTTCAAGTTTATCCCAATCTTTAGCTTTTTTGCTTGATGATGGATAAGAAGGTGGTACTGATTGAACATTAGGTGCTCGATTCATATTAACTAAAAACCAAATAAAATTATTATTTTATTCTCACTAATAAATAAATATGAATTATGACCTGGTGGAATATTTGGTTTATGTTGAGCATCGAGTGATGTCCATTGAATAGCATCAGTTTTATACAAACGAATTTCAACCTAAATAATCACAAAAGATAAGTATTTACAAAAATAAGTATATATTGAACTTACGTTTGCTGTATTAACTTTAAAATCAGTACGACTACTGTTAATTGGATATGCAAGATCAAGTTCAAGATTATATCCACTATCTGAAGATGGTATTTCAATCTTGACATTTAACTAAATTAAAGAATATTTTTAAATATTATATAATTCATTATGAGGGAAAACCGTACTGTTTTATCAGTAGTGTCAACATGTACTTGTTCACGTTGTACATTACGAATAGGTACTACAACGACAACAGTAGTTTCTGATTGATACCATGTATGACTGTATAATTAAAAACAAAATATCAATATGACTGCTCATTTAGGAATAATATTTTACTTTATTTTTTTTGGAGGATTAACAATTGGTTTTGTTTCATTTTGCGATGGTTCATTTGAAGCCATGATTCGCTTACCTTTTCTTATTATGCGCTTATCGGAATGCAATACAAATATTGAGCATGTAGGAAAAAACCAGTGAAGGTTATAAATGCACTTTATGTGTCGCCCTCTGGATCAGCAGGATAAATTTGTAAAAAATATTTATGTTTTTATATAGAAAAAATGAATCTCTTCTCAATAATACATATTAATTTTCTACAAAGTTTAATTAACATAGATGTCACCACAATACTAAACTATTATATTCATGAGATAAATTAGTGTTTAAAATCGGCTAGGGCATTTTACTATGTCAGATAAGCAGTATGCTAATACGAAGACTGCAGATTTAGGTTCCGATGTGATTTGAATCTGACTAGAACTGTTATGAACAATATAGATTTTCAACGCATTAATATTGTTGGTTCTCAAAAAGTTTATCTATTGAAGTTACGAAAATAAATTCTATTTAGATAGCCCTATTCATTACAACTAGTAATATACTAACTGTATGCAAATAGATAATAAAATGAGATTTCTTCGTTATCGCTTCTAGTTTTTTCGATCTTTTTTTGTACAAATGACACCACATAACAATGAACGAATGAAAAAGAAAATGAACAGTTAAAATAATACATATAACGCTAATGAATAAACAAAAGAAAAACATATGCTGCATGAATCTCTCATTCTAAGGACTTTCATTTTCAACTATATTAACAGGATCATTTTCATAACCAAAACCACCGGCTGGAAATGCAGAAGCTCCAAGACCATATAAATGTCCTGAATATTTTCCTTCATCGATTGAATCTTCAAAAAATAATTCTTTCATTCGAAAAAATGATAAACCAGTCATAAGACTATCACTACCAGCTTGATGTTGTGGGCCAATACGTTCAATCTAAATCGAGAAAAAAACAATAATTATTCGAATATAAAACGAAAAATTTACTTCAAGTTGTTTTGCTACTTCTTCAAGACCACCTTTAAGATTTTTACAACTTTTCATCAAATATTTCACATCATAAATTGTTGGAAAAAAGATTTTTAATAATTCAAAAAAATCATTTTCAGTATCAGGTAATAATTTTCCTGTAAGCATTTTTAATAAATAACCAAAATCATAACCACTAAGAAAAAATAAAAATTATTTCTAAAAAAATGTTTTTAATAAAACATACGCATGAAATGAAAGCCATGTTACATTTTCCATAAATACAACACCTGATGTTGTTAATAATTCAGCAAATAAATGTGGATCAATACCTTCATCTTCATGTTTTTTAAATTGTATACCCGATTTTTGTAAAAGTTCTATTGAATCTTGAGCATACATGTCCATTCTAAATGAATTTTATTTGATTTATTTATTTTTTCGAAAAAAAGAAATAATTACGTTAAATTAAAATTAAAGTTAAATTGGTATGAACAAACACCTGGTGGACTTTTTCCTTGACTATCCATGAATGTTAAACCTAATTGAATTATTTTTAAAAAATCAACATTTAATTTTAAACATTGATATTGATATTCTGCTGTAGTTTTAAATTCTCCTAATGGTCGAACGACAATACCCGGAAATTCTGTATCCTAGAAGAAAAAAAAATATTTCATCGATATTTTCAACAGACGAAAAAAAGTAGAACACGATATAATTGATACTAACCATAGCGACATAAGGATATTTAAGAATCAGTTTTCTTATAGAACGAAATTCTTCTTCAACATTATGCGCCCAAACATCTTTAATAGTATAGGATGGAATTGGTTCTTCTGGCATGATTTCAATATTCCTAAACAAAACGGCAATAGATAATAATCAAAATCTACATGTGTATTATATATTGATTTACTAGAAATTAAAAAATCGTCATCAATATGAAAAGATAACTGAAGAAAAAATTGAAGCGATATATTTATGAAATAATAGTTTCACGGTTGCACATTCAAATCGAAACAATGGATGATGAAAACAAATCACTTAGTTAACTTGTGTACACATCGGTCGGACGAAGATGATTTAAGTAATATAGGAGAAAAGTTTTACGAATATATTAACCAATCTGCAAAATTTGACAACTAGTGACCTCTTTTTAAAATGAATATATAGAATAAAATAAAATCTTTGGAAATTAGTTTATTTAAAATATCTTAATTAATACAATCAACAAAAAAATAAAATTATTGAGATTATCAGTTCGAATAAAGAAATATTTATCGATCACTACGATTGTGAATTTCCACATTGATCCATACAATCTTCTTCAGTTTCAAAATTATTACCATTTCCTAAAATAAGTTAAATATTTGATTTTATTGATAATAATATTGTCTTACCGTTACAACCACCATAAATAAATTGCTTGCATTGTCCTGATACTGAATCAAAACCATACCTAGGAAAATATCCTCGGCAAGGACCTGTTACAGGTGGGGTATTACATGAATCTGGTCGTTGACAATTGACCATTACTATCGAATAGTACGCAATAATAACGAATATAATAAGCACTTTATTCATATTGTATGTATGTCACCTAAAAATAAATTAAATGAAAGTATTTTTATACGAAAAAAGGTATTGCGAAAATATAGAATGAAAAAAAAAATAGTGGGTAGTTATTGTTTGATGAGTAATGCATATATACGTGGATCAATAACAGGATGCATTAGATTTTTTTGATTAATGATAAAAAACAAAAATATACGATGATTTTTTTCGACGTAATAGACTTGAGAAAATCTAAGAAATGTTTTTTTTGCTCTCTAATTAAAAACAATTCAAGCTTTGTCTTATAGAAAATGAAACACACTGTCTTTATATGATTAAACGATGAGTCAGTAATTTTCAGAAATGAAATGCCATACTCTATCACCTTATAATGTTGTCAATATTGTACTAAACAAAATAAATGTATCTCTTTTATGAATGAATTACGTCAAACAATAAGAATTAAACGCTTATCTCGATCCTATAATGATCAAATATAGAATAAAGAGAATGTAAATATGTACATCTCAACTCATGATTATAAGAACTATTAAAATACTCTATCATCACTATTTCTTTAATAATATCATAATGGTGTTGAGAATTCAATATATTACAAATTTAATTATGCGAATGTACTGCTCGTTACCGAAAAATGAGATAGCTCAAATTCATATTATTTAAATAAAGATGATTGATGGCCATTGCCATTATAGTATGTATCACTAATATTTATATTGGCAATTATTGTTTCATCATTCTATTTAAAATATCATACAAAGAAAGAATAGTTATTCAACTGAAATATGCATGTTATGTTTTTCTGTCAGTTCTTATGTAGCCTTAACGAATGATCAATTTATTACAATTACTAATCATATTTAGAATAGCCACTAGTTTTCACATTCACATTTACGAAAGTGAACCGAAAATATAATGTAAATAATCATAAAAATTCATTTCAACAATTGTCAGTATACTTCAACGTGACACATACATATATATATATACCAATAAACACTTTTTTGGAGGAGTACCGACTAGTACTAAAACTACTAGACCATCGGACAAATATTTAATTATTATCAAAATGCTTGTAGTATTTACTTGAAGAATGTAAATGATGTTGTCTATCAAATATGATATTTATAAATTATAACCATATGTCGAAATTGAAACAATTAGCCATTCACACATTTACTTGCATTTCTATACAATTATTCTGTTAATGAAATCATGCTGTTCGATTAGATTTACGCGACAATACCATTTTGAATCATATTAAGAGCTCCCTACCTCTAAAAAAAAGTAATTTCTGTCAAATTACCAGTTTCGAAAATTTACATTGATTTTTCTGAAAAACGCAAAATCAGAATTTGTTTTCGATTTGATTATTTACGAAAAAATCTAGTTTTTATCAAAACCAGCTTTATTGGGTCTTAGGAGCAAATCTTCTCTGCATTTTGGCACTACTTTGAGGTTTATATCATTAAAATTGCAAAAGATTTAATGATACGATAACTCTCAGATACATATTCAGCAAAAACTTTACTCGGATTGAGTGGTGTGGAAAAGAATTCATTTTTGAGGGGTGGAAATGCCCTTAAAAGTGGATAAACAGATACACAAATCAATAGGCATTGCTAATGTATAACCGAATGGCTTCGAGAATATACTCATCCATATTATGAAATTCTATTCTTAAAATTCAGAATATAATCTCAGTATATAGAACATCTTGTATCTGCTGCATTTCTCAAAATTATCGTTACAAAATGAATAATTATTCTGAATTATACTTTCTATTTTACTAATTAATTATTCCAACAAAATATTTTTTACGTTAGCTTAAACAGAACCTTACAATTTAATTCATTTCATAAAGTTTAAATACAATATATTGTTTATTATAAATTTCTTTTATTTTTTTTCATAATCTACACATAATTATCTTTTCACAAGTTGTTACACATAGTGCATACACAAAAAAATCCGAACACATGAGACAAAAAAAAATTACAAACACAGACATATATGAATAGAGATCAGAAGTAGACATAATCTATTGAAAATATCGTAAAAATGCAAAAAACGCATTTTAAAACTCAGCATCAAGTGTCAATTGATGTTCATTTATTGCAGTCATAACACCAGCTCGTTGATAATCACCAACACGTTTTTCAAAGAAATTTGTTTTACCAGTTATTGAAATATTATTCATAAAATCAAATGGACAATCACAATGATAAATCTAAAAATATAATTATTAAATATATTAAAACCAAAAATACTAATTTCATTCAATTTACTTTTGAACAACCAAGTTCAACTAGAAGACGATCAGCAACAAATTTAATATATTGGGCCATAGCTGCTGAATTCATTCCAATTAACGAGCATGGTAAAGCATCAGTTAGAAATTCAATTTCAATCTCTACAGCTTCACGTAGAATTTCTTCAATACGTTCAACACTTGGTTTATGAACAATATGTTCAAAAAGTAAACAAGCAAAATCTGTATGTAAACCCTAAATAAAAAATCATTTGATTATTGATATTTAACTTAAAAATTTGTTTTCAGAACAAACCTCATCTCGACTAATTAATTCATTACTAAATGTCAAGCCAGGCATAACACCACGTTCACGTAACCAGAAAATAGATGCAAATGAACCACTGAAGAATATTCCTTCAACACAAGCAAATGCAACTAAACGTTCAGCAAATGTACTTTTATCACTGATCCAACGAATAGCCCAATCAGCTTTCTTTTTTACATATGGTAATGTTGACATAGCATTAAATAATACATCACTAAAATGAAAAATTAATTTTCAAGATAATCACTTTGATTTTCTATGAATTTTTAGTTTTTTACCGTTCACGTGGATCTTTAATATATGTATCTATAAGTAAACTATACATTTCTGAATGAATATTTTCAATTGCTATTTGAAAACCATAGAAACAACGTGCTTCAGGAATTTGAACTTCTCCGGAAAATTTTTCAACTAAATTTTCTCCAACAATTCCATCACTTGCAGCAAAAAAAGCTAAGACATGTTTGATAAAATATTGTTCATCAGGTGTTAAACGTAACCAATCTCTCATATCATTGGCCAAATCAACTTCTTCACATGTCCATATAGATGCTAATGCACGTTTATAAAAATTCCATACATCATGATATCTTATTGGAAATAATACATAACGTGATGGGTTTTCACGTAATATTGGTTCATCTTCTTCATATGATTTTACATTAATATTCTAATAGATAAAACAAATATTAAAAATAAAAGAATTTTCTTCAATTAAAATAACAAACCAATTTTTTTTCAATAAGATTTTCGAATATATTTACATCATCATTATCACGATCTGTACCCTTTACAAAATATTTTATTATGACGTACATATTAAATAAATCTGACTTACATTTGATATTTTCGTTTCAGTATTCTCTATTCCATTTGTTGAAGAAACAGTAATGTCACGCATGATTTAAATATTAATTTAGACTATCTGTAATATAAATTTCTATTGAATGATATTCACCTGTGTATATCTCTCATCTATTTATATCAGAAAAAAAAAGAATAACCTCTATTATGTTTCTAACGGTTTAATTTTCCTTTGAGAAATTGAATAAACCAATAGAATACAGTCGTCTTTGTCTATGTTCACAAATCCTAGACGAATTATTAATGAGCGAGACAAACTGGATATATGTGTTTGTTGTGAATAACAAGAATATAGAAATTGGATAGCAAATAGTGTGAAAAATAACAGATATATATATACAGCTGCGATTTCATAATCATCGAGAAATTTATAGAAAGAAAAAGAACTATGACGTCATTTGTTGTTTGTTTTTTATGGGAAAACAACAGTACGAAAGCATTACAAACACTATGCTCAATGTTACTTCTAATCAATTTATATGAGATGAAAAAAACTGATATAATATTCAAAATTGAACATCATACAAATATGAAAATAATTTGAATGTTAATCAATAATAGTCAAGGTCATTTTAGAATGTAGTAAAAAGAATCTCAATAGGTTAGATTATTACTGAACGGAGATAAAAATATTTTGTACAGCAAAATTTCTCAAAATTTCTTTCCCCCAAAATAATCATAATCACTGAGCAATAACATGTTCAAATCATATCGTCAAAAACTGCAACAAAACATTATTCCAATTTGTATATTATACAATATTTTATCAATTGGAATGACATTAAGCCATGCATTTAATAGAATTTTCTATAAAGAACGTATTCT